TGGTGAGAGCAGAAGGAGATCAGCAAACATCTGATCTCTGATCTCCCCTTCAGTGAATGGATGTGGGAGGTGGGAGATTATGTCATTTCTGGGTTCAGCGCTGTCATTCTCCAGTCACTATGGTTTGGGAAGGAGCTGATTAGGCATGATCTGTGCTTGACCATCTTTCTTGGGGTACAGAGGTGACATTGGGGGTCTAATAATGTTCTGATGTCTCTTTAAAGAGGACCTGTGACCAGAAATATGTACCACGGGGGGGGGCTATCAACCCCCTATATGATAGAAGCCATGTTAGTAAGAAAAAAAAGAGTTGAAAAAAAATTTAAAACACTATAAAAAAAAAAAAACACAAAACAAATCACACGACACATTTTACATATCATTGCACAAGTGAGAGTGAGAACAATCATTCTGAGGCCATCGTTCACGGATAACTATCTGAACTGATAACCTATAAAGGCTCTTAAAGCGTCACCTTTGAACAATTTTTGGTACTGAAGTTTGTCACCATTTCACAAGTACGCACAATTTGTAAAGTTTGACATGTTTGGTATCTATATACTTGATGCCCCCCCCATATTTTATATTTCACCAAACAAATTGGGTCATATATTGTGTTCTTTGTGCACTAACATTATCTTTTTTTTACAGAAAATATGTATTTGATAAACAGCTGTACTAATATTCTGTGACATGAAAAATGGCAACTACCACCATTATATTCTCCAGAGTCTCTGCTTTCAGATAATAAAAGAAATGTTTGGGGTTTTAACTAATCATATGGCCTAAAATGTGAATTTAACTAAAAACAAAAGCAAAAAAAAACTCTGGCAGTGAAAGAAAATACAGCAATATATAACATTTCAAAAATCAAAACTATGGTAGCAACTAATGGCTTAAGAAGCAAACCCACCATATTACTCAACCAGGTTCCAACTAAACCCACCCAAAACATTGGATCCCACCTCCTCCCACCCAGGTTCCTGTTGGAACTCCTTTACCTTGTGTAGATATCCCCTTCTGAGATCCTCATGATCTAATATAAATGTACAAACACTCTCTATCTGACACCATTTGTAGACTCCACCTTGGTCTGCCAAGAGATAGTCAGCTGCCATGCAGTTCTGTGACACCACCTTAGGTGGTGGAGCCACTTCTGCTGTCAGCTCTGCTATAACATCAATGGTGTCATTGGTTCTGATCCATGACTCCAGTACACCGGTTCATCTTACTTATCTTAGATTCCCCATCCCGTCTATGAAGGGCTCACTGCATAAAGCAGCTCCAATCCAGAGAAAATGTTTTTCTTCTCACTGGAAGGCCAGGGGAGTATTGGGAGAAATTGAGGCTTTCCCTTACAGATATGGGGGGGGAGGGGCAACATAACCTAAAGTACAGCTATGGGTGGAATTGAAGGGAAGACATTTTAGGGTGCTCCTTCACACAACAAGAAGCAAATGTTATCTGGAAGGACTAGGAATCCATTGGACCAATGGGGATTAAACATTCTGCAATTACATTGAGAAACCATGAAATGTTACTGGCCTGTGATTGGCTCTCCTATTGTAGTGAGTGAAGAAGTGAGACTCCCCTTGTCGGTGTCATTAATGGAAAAACAAACCATGTGAAATGTTTCTTCCAAATCAAAAAAAAAGGTGACCCCCTTGGGTAAGTACCCATCCTAATATTCCTGATATGAGTTTGTAGTCCCTGCTATACAGGAAACATGTGGGCAATCATTTACACCTTTTACAGCAGGACAGTAAATATCAGAACACAATTCAAACAGAAGACCAACAGCAGGAAGTCTGCTAACTGAATGTGTAATGCAATCTGTCATTAGCATTCCCAGAGTTCCCTCTGCAACATAGTTGTATCAGCTGTTGGTCCTGTCTGTAGATCTGTTATTTCCCCACCTTCTGTAACAGGGTGACAACCCTGATCATTCTGCAGGAACATTACACAGCAGCGTTGTCACCCTGTACAGGGAAGTCTTAGATAGATTATAAGTAAGACACACAACAAGTAAAGTCCAACTCCAGCTAACTCCTCTAGAAACGCTTCTACAGCAGTTACAGCAACAGGTTCTCTATAAGGTTCAACCCCCCATATGAATGGAAGATGACAGTTGTAAGCACCCCCAGCAGTGTTATATGGTGTTTCCCCCCCCCCCCCAACTTTCATTTTTGCCAAATAGCTTGGCCTTCTACAGGAAGCAGAAAAAAAAAACAGATCTACTGGGAGGGTCAACAGGTAATAAAAATGTTACAAGGGGAGACTTGGAAAAACATAAAACGTTTATGCTAATGACAGATTGCACCATTTATGTAATTATTGATTTTGCCCATTGTTACACTTTAGTGCCGATGTCTTAGCATTTCCAGGAATAATTAGTGCTCTTTGCACACTTTGCCCAAAAAAAAGGGACCCCCGTTCATTCAGAGTCATTAAGGTGAACCCCAATAAGAGGAATTTCAGTCTCCCAGAAGAAGTGGTAGGAATATGACCGCACACTTAGCACTTTGTAAGTTCAGATCTCTTGCAGTTGTACCTGATAAGACTCGTGTGAATAGTTTATGGAGATGAGCAATAGCTGGACAGAAAAAAAAAAAGATAACAAGGACATCCAATCTTCACCTGATAGAATCCCTTTTGAAAAAACCAGATGAAACATAAGTGGCCAGCTGGGATTAGGTGGTACTGTTGAATATGTCCCCTAAAACAGCATTAACTCCGTGTTGGAAGGCCTACACCAGCTTAAGAAGTTACTCTCTCTAACCAACAGACCTCTATCTGGCTGGTATCTCAGCTACAGACCTGCCTGCAAAGAAGCTGTCATCCATGAGAGGAGATGGAACATGGAAAGGAGGCATTGATCATGGGAGAGGAGGTGGAACATGTAATGGGAGGTGTGGACAAGGTGGGCTTAGCTGGAGCCCTCAAGCCTAGCTTATGATGTATCAGTTCTCAAAAACCTGGAATGGACTCTCCTAATGAGGTTTCAGAGGCTTGGCAAGAAGCCATTGGACCCCATCCTAGACTCTGGTACTGAGGCAACATTGTTGGTCATGTATTGGTTGGTCAGATTCTGGCAATGAAGAAAACACATGGGAACATAGCTCAGTTAGTGAATGATGAAAATGCATTACATGTTCAGTCAATGCTCCATAAAAAAGGATAAAGATGAGATGATGATGAGGAATACAGTTCAGTCATTGCTGCTTGTCTGAAAAATGTCCAAAGGTAAAAAATATTCACAGGCCTTCTAGGTGTGTTTCTGATGGACATAATCACTAAACCCAATGAATCCGATCATTAGAGTCCTGTTTGTTCAAGTTTTTTTTTTTTTTTTTTTTAAGTAGCATCATGTCTTCCCTAGTTTGTGGGAAGACATTGGGCCTGTGAGCCTAATGGGACAGCTGTGACTTCTTTAATATTGCCCCTTCTTCTGGAGTTTCCTCTATGCAGCTCAAGCTTGTGAATCCTCTGGTGATAGATTAGCCCGGCATTACCTGTAAAAGCTTTGTCACATTCTGAACATTGATATGGCTTCTCTCAGTGTGTGAACCTCTCATGTATGACAAGGTTTTCCTCTCTGTTTAAAAGTTTTATCACATTCAGAACACTGATATGGCTTCTCTCCAGTGTGGACCCTCTGGTGTGCTATGAGAACTGACTTCTGTGTAAAAGTTTTATCACATTCAGAACACTGATGTGGTTTCTCTCCCAGTGTGATCTCTCTGTGTGTATGAAATGACTTCATGTAAAAGCTTTGTCACATTCAGAACACTGATATGACTTCTCTCCAGTGTGAATCCTCTGGTGTGTGATGATCTGACTTCTGTGTAAAAGCTTTGTCACATTCAGAACACTGATATGACTTCTCTCCAGTGTGACCCTCTGGTGTATGAAAATTGACTTCTTGTGTAAAAGCTTTGTCACATTCAGAACACTGATATGACTTCTCTCCAGTGTGTGAATCCTCTGGTGTATGATAAGATGACTTGACTTCTGTGTAAAAGCTTTGTCACATTCAGAAACACTGATATGACTTCTCTCCAGTGTGAATCCTCTGGTGTCCTCTGACTCTCTGTATACATTCAGAACACTGATATGACTTCCAGTGTGTAAATTTGCTTTGTGTAAAAGCTTTGTCACATTCAGAACAGATATGACTTCTCTCCAGTGTGAATCCTCTGTGTGTGTGATAAGATGTGACTTCTGTGTAAAAGTTTTGTCACATTCAGAACATTGATATGACTTCTCTCCAGTGTGAATCCTCTGGTGTATGATAAGATGACTTCTGTGTAAAAGCTTTGTCACATTCAGAACACTGATATGACTTCTCTCCAGTGTGAATCCTCTGGTGTCTGGTGTATGATAAGATTTGACTTCTGTGTAAAAGCTTTGTCACATTCAGACACTGATATGACTTCTCTCCAGTGTGAATCCCTCTGGTGTATGATAAGATTGACTTCTGTGTAAAAGCTTTGTCACATTCAGAACACTGATATGACTTCTCTCCAGTGTGAATCCTCTGGTGTGTGATAAGATTGACTTCCATGTGTAAAAGCTTTGTCACATTCAGAACACTGATATGACTTCTCTCCAGTGTGATCCTCTGGTGTGTGTATAAGAGATTGACTTCTGTGTAAAAGCTTTTGGAACTGATGATATGACTTCTCTCCAGTGTGAATCCTCTGGTGTGTGATAAGATTTGACTTCTGTGTAAAAGCTTTGTCACATTCAGAACACTGATATGACTTCTCTCCAGTGTGAATCCTCTGGTGATGATATAAGATAAGATTTGACTTCTGTGTAAAAGCTTTGTCACATTCAGAACACTGATATGCTTCTCTCCAGTGTGAATCCTCTGGTGTATGATAAGATTTGACTTCCATGTAAAAGCTTTGTCACATTCAGAACACTGATATGACTTCTCTCCAGTGTGATCCTCTGGTGTGATAAGATTTGACTTCTGTGTAAAAGCTTTGTCACATTCAGAACACTGATATGACTTCTCTCCAGTGTGAATCCTCTGTGTGATGATAAGATGTGACTTCCATGTAAAAGCTTTGTCACATTCAGAACACTGATATGACTTCTCTCCAGTGTGAATCCTCTGGTGTATGATAAGATGTGACTTCCATGTAAAAGCTTGTCACATTCAGAACACTGATATGGCTTCTCTCCAGTGTGAACCTTCTGGTGTGTGATATGTTTTGCCTCCATTGTAAAATCTTTGTCACGTTCCAAACAAGAAATCGCTTGAAATGACTCCTCTTATGTATACATGGGTTGGACTTTACTGTAAAGCAATTGTCACTTCCAGAACACTGAAATGACTTTTCTCATGTTGTCCTCTGAGGTTGGATCAGTGTTGAAGAGGACCCAAAGCACTTATGACATTTAGAACACGGATATGACTTGTGTCCTGTGTGACTCCTCCAGTGAACTGCAATAAAAACTTTCAGTCAATTACAACACCCAGATGTTTGGTTTCCCATGTGACTGAGTTGTATTCACGAAGACCAGCATGACCGAAAAGTGATTCATCAATCCACCTGTAAAAAAAAAAAAAAAATAAAAATCAGAATTCTATATAAAGGGCTAAAGTTGTTTTTTTATTTTTAATGATCATTAATAAATATATCTTATATATCATCGCAGGCTGTGTCAGCATTATGGTTGTCCTCAAAGGGCCAGTTGTAACTGTAAGACTAGATGTCCAGAGCACCTCACCCCCCCATTACATCAGATGCCAAGAACCCCACACCCACCCTAACATCACCGTGCACCTCCTTTGGGGGCAGAGCTGGAAAGCAGAAAGTGCAGGGTCTGGAGGAGGACCAGAGGAGGAGTGGAGTCAATTACCAGAGTCTGCTGAATGCTGAGACCAAGGGAGGTGGAGATGAGGGGATGCTGCAGCTGCACTGAGCAAGGGCCACATGAAATAACTTAGAGGGCAGGATCTGGATACAGGTGTTTGACACCTGTGTTATATATATAGAAAGCATATGTACATCATCATTTGTATATATATATATAATTTTTTTTTTAATTCAACTAAATTGTATTATTTAAGTTTTAAAAGTGCACACAGTATATCCAACATTCAGCCCAGACAATGGAGTCATACATTCTAATTAGAGATGAGCGGATCGAACATGACGAAGTGGAATTCGTTTAGAAGATTAGGAAAAATTCGATTCGCGCCGAATCCGAAGATTAGCCAACTTCGGGTGCACAAATCAAATTTTCCCAAAAATGGCGGCGACATGTGTGGCGACGGAGCGGGGATCTCTTTGAAGGCGCGCAGACAAGGCGCGCTGACCCATAATGCATTCATTCATGACATGTGATCGCATTAGCCAATCAGCAGCCAGCCAGCCAGCACTGTGTAATGGTGGAGCTATAAATCGCGGCCATCTTAGAATTCTCCATTAGCCTCCGGTCATTCAAGAGAGACAGACCTGTGTGTATTGAGGGACAGAGTTAGGGCCACAAAGACTTTAGGGCCACAGAATCGTTACTGAGGGACACAGAATCGTTACTCAGGGACACACAATCGTTACTCAGGGACACACAATCGTTACTCAGGGACACACAATCGTTACTCAGGGACACACAATCGTTACTCAGGGACAAAGAATCGTTACTCAGGGACACAGAATCGTTACTCAGGGAAAGACACAGAATTGTTACTCAGGGACACACAATTGTTACTCAGGGACACAGAATCGTTACTCAGGGACACAGAATTGTTATTCAGGGACAAAGAATCGTTACTCAGGGACACAGAATCGTTACTCAGGGAAAGACACAGAATTGTTACTCAGGGACACACAATTGTTACTCAGGGACACAGAATCGTTACTCAGGGACACAGAATTGTTATTCAGGGACACAGAATTGTTACTCAGGGACACAGAATCGTTACTCAGGGACAGACACAGAATTGTTACTCAGGGACACAGAATCGTTACTCAGGGACAGACACAGAATTGTTTACTCAGGGACACAGAATTGTTACTCAGGGACAGACACAGAATTGTTACTCAGGGACACAGAATTGTTACTCAGGGACACAGAATCGTTACTGAGGGACACAGAATCGTTACTCAGGGACAGACACAGAATTGTTACTCAGGGACACAGAATTTTTACTCAGGGACACAGAATTGTTACTCAGGGACAGACACAGAATCGTTACTCAGGGACACAGAATTGTTACTCAGGGACACAGAATTGTTACTCAGGGACACAGAATTGTTACTCAGGGACACAGAATCGTTACTCAGGGACAGACACAGAATCGTTACTCAGGGGACACAGAATTGTTACTCAGGGACACAGAATCGTTACTCAGGGACACACAGAATCGTTACTCAGGACACAGAACAGGGACACAGAATCGTTACTCAGGGACACAGAATTGTTACTCAGGGACACAGAATTGTTACTCAGGGACACAGAATCGTTACTCAGGGACAGACACAGAATTGTTTCTCAGGGACAAAGAATTGTTACTCAGGGACACAGAATCGTTACTCAGGGACACAGAATCGTTACTCAGGGACAGACACAGAATCGTTACTCAGGGACAGACACAGAATCGTTACTCAGGGACACAGAATCGTTACTCAGAATTGTTACTCAGGGACACAGAATTGTTACTCAGGGACAGACACAGAATTGTTACTCAGGGACACAGAATTGTTACTGAGGGACACAGAATCGTTACTGAGGGACACAGAATTGTTACTCAGGGGACACAGAATTGTTACTCAGGGACAGACACAGAATTGTTACTCAGGGACACAGAATTGTTACTGAGGGACACAGAATCGTTACTGAGGGACACAGAATTGGTACTCAGGGACACATAATTGTTACTCAGGGACACAGAATTGTTACTCAGGGACAGACACAGAATTGTTACTCAGGGACACAGAATTGTTACTCAGGGACACAAAATCGTTACTCAGGGACACAGAATTGTTACTGAGGGACACAGAATTGTTACTCAGGGACAGACACAGAATTGTTACTGAGGGACACAGAATTGTTACTGAGGGACACAGAATCGTTACTGAGGGACACAGAATTGTTACTCAGGGACACAGAATTGTTACTCAGGGACACAGAATTGTTACTCAGGGACACAGAATTGTTACTGAGGGACACAGAATCGTTACTGAGGGACACAGAATCGTTACTGAGGGACACATAATTGTTACTGAGGGACACAGAATTGTTACTGAGGGACACAGAATTGTTACTGGAGGGACACAGAATCGTTACTGAGGGACACAGAATTGTTACTCAGGGACACAGAATCATTACTCAGGGACACAGAATTGTTACTCAGGGACACAGAATTGTTACTCAGGGACACAGAATCGTTACTCAGGGACACAGAATCGTTGAATTAAAGAGTATGTCAGACAACATGCAGAGGAGTGGCAGAGGAGGCAATGTTTTAGGAGCGAGCAGACGTGGCAGCAGAGGAAGGGGTCGAGGCAGCACTATTCGCAGCCAGAGGCCAGTGCTCCCGGTGTCATCCAGCGGTCGTGTCTCCACCGACAACCCTGCCGTCATCGATTGGTTGGCTCGGTCGTCTTCCTCTTCCCAGGTCACCTCTGACACCTACAGCCAACGGTCGGTGGGTACGTCAGACACAACCGTTAGTTGGCATGGCCCGGGAGCAAGCCCACTGAAATCACATGTCCTCTACCTGCCCCTGTCCTTTGGTGTTCCCTCACCAAGCGAAGTATCGCATGCTGTGGGCTCAGCCCCACTGTACAGTGAGGAAGAGCTAACAGAGGGCGGTCAGGAACGGGGGGAGACATCCGCCTCTTCAGCAGCCAGGCGAAGAAGTACTGGCGAGGAGAGTGGCTCGGTAGCCGATCTAGAGACAGGTCTGTCTCCTGACCCACACGCAGCCGAGGGGGCTAGTAGTGAGGCGGAGACCGTACCTGATGATGAGGAGGTTGATCGCACTTGGCAGCCTCGTCGTCATCAGGCTATTGCTTCCGCATCATCAGGAGAAGAGGGTGCCAGCTTGGCAGCGAGCAAAACAGTCGGTGGGTTGCCCAGGAGGCAGCAGGGTCGCAGCAGTGTCAGTGGAGGCAAACGGCCACGGAGTAGAGCACCAGCTCCACTGCAGCCTACCACCACGGCCAGTAGTAGTGGTTCCGGTGTGCATGGAGGAAGTAGCAGTCAGCCAGTGAGGAGTAGCGGGGGTCAAAGTTTCCTACTCGGCGGTGTGGCAATTTTTCGTCAAGCCGCCTGAGGAAGTAAACGGAGCCGTATGTCGACTATGTGGCCAGAAAGTCAAGCGTAGCCAGGGGGCCCATGTTGGGACTACAGCGTTGCGTCAGCATATGCAGCGTCGCCATTCGGTGGCCTGGGAAAACCGTGATAAAGATACGGCGGTTCTGCCTGCCCCAGCCCCCGCTCCATCACCCGCTCCGTTACTTGCTCCGTCACCCGACGTCAATCGCCCTCTATCAGCCAGTCAAGGCTCCAACACCTCTGCTGAGGGGAGTTGTCGCTCGTTGGCATCTTCCGCTCGTTCAGATGCTCCTTCTCCTGCTACTCCTCTTCACGGATTCCGTCAGCAGTCTTTCTTGGAATCCGTTTCCAAGAGACAACAGTTTGCGAGCACGCACCCGACGGTGCAGAAGCTGAACGTCCTCCTGTCCAAGTTGCTGGTGCTGCAGTCCCTCCCCTTCCAAGTGGTGGACTCAGCACCTTTCCGAGAAATGATGGCTTGTGCCGTGCCGCGGTGGAGAGTGCCAAGCCGGCATTTCTTCACCAAAAAGGCAGTGCCAGCCCTGCATTCACATGTAGAAGAGATGGTGGGCCAGTCTTTGAGCATGTCGGTCTCTGCCAAAGTGCACGGCAGCGCCGATGTGTGGAGCTGTAACTACGGTCAGGGACAGTACATGTCATTTACGGCCCACTGGGTGAACGTGGTGCCGGCACAGCCGCACCAGCAACTTGGACAGGTCACGCCGCTTTTGCACGTCCTTGGTCCAGCAAAGATGTCCGCCTCTACCACCTCTTCTTCCGCCGTGTCCTCAGCCGCCACCCCCGTGCCAAGTCCCATTACCCGACCGTCATATCACATGTGCAGGGCGCAACGGTGTCACGCTGTGCTGCACCTGGTATGCCTTGGCGAACGTAGTCACACAGGGGAGGAACTTCTGAGTGTAATGAACAGAGAAATCGACAGATGGCTGTCTCCGCGCAAACTGAAAATCGGAACCATGTTGACCGACAACGGAAAGAACATGGTGTCTGCTCTGCGTCAAGGAAGGTTGTGCCATGCGCCATGCATGGCTCACGTGTTCAATCTGGTTGTCAAGCGGTTCCTAAAATCCACCATCCCACTGCAAGACATCCTTAAAATGTCACGTAAACTTTGCATGCATTTCAGCCATTCCTACACCGCAAAGCACACCCTCCTTGAGCTGCAGCGGCAGAACGGAATTCCACAGCATCGCCTGATCTGCGACGTTGCAACAAGGTGGAATTCAACCCTACACATGTTAGACCGCCTTTACGAGCAGCGAAAGGCCATCACCGATTTCCTGATGTTACAAGCGGATAAAGGTACTCCCCTGTGTAACTTAGATGTCAGCCATTGGCAGCTCATGCGTGACACCTGCCGCTTGCTCAGGCCCTTTGAGGAGGCCACGCTATTCGTGAGTCGGCAGGACTATGGGATGAACGACGTCATTCCTCTGTTGCACGTCCTGAACACAAATGCTGTTAACAATGGCTGGTCAGGGTGCGGTAGACGTGGCGCACAGATCTCAATGCCACATGACCCCTGTGGGGGCAGGACAGGAAGAAGAGGAGGAGGTAGAGGAGGACATTGGTGCTCAGGAATTATTGAGTGAAATGGGTGGTTTTTCCACTCAGCGGACAGGAGTGGAGGAGCAGGAGCATCTGGGAGAGGAGGAGGAGGAGACAGAGGACCCAGACGCACCGTGGCAGTATGCTGTGGAGATGGAGGCAGGGAGTCCCTCGCATTCCTTGGCACAAATGGCCCATAGCATGCTCGCTTGCTTGCGTAGCGACAGCCGAATAATAACCATCAGACAGAGGGATGACTTTTGGCTGTCCACCTTGTTGGACCCTCGCTACCGTTCAAAAATGGTGGCCTTTTTCACACCTGCTGAGAGGGAGGCCAAAATAACGTACTATAAAAACCACCTATGTAGTCAGTTGGTCTCTGCCTTTCTGCGCCAACGTCCATCCTCAGACACTGTGGGCCCTGTGCGCTCGCGTTCCGCTGCCATGGCAGCAGGGGAGGGGTGGGGTGGTAGGAGCAGTGGCAGCTCCACCAGCAGCGGCTGCCTCAGTCTGCAGTCGATGATGAGTAGCTTTCTTCACCAGCGCAGTGAGGAAACTACTAACCAGCCGCAGCAGCAGCAGCAGCATCAGGTGGACCTGGAGCAGGAGCTCAAACAACAGGCTTGGGCCTACTTGGACAGCACCCTGCCAACCGAGGTAGACAATCCCCTTGACTACTGGGCAACGAAACTTGACCTTTGGCCCCAACTAGCTGAATTTGCCCTTGAAAGGCTGTCATGCCCGGCCAGTAGCGTGGCATCGGAGCGCGTGTTTAGTGCGGCAGGAGGTATTGTAACTCCGCGGAGGACACGACTGTCCACCCAAAGTGTGGAGAGACTCACGTTTGTGAAAATGAATCAGGCGTGGATTAGTCTGGATTTCAAACCACCAGTTCCTGACACAACTGACTAAATCCGCCATGAATCATGCCCCAAACATGTTATTATTTTTAACATAGGCCTCTGTATGGCCTTCAATTTAAGCTGCTTACACTTCGCCACTCTGCCATGGGCCCCTGTACCGCCTCCTCTTGCTGCTGCCAGGTCCAGAGTGTGTCATGGGTCCCTGTACGGCCTCCCATTGCTGCTGTCTCCATCGCCACACTCTGCCATGTGCCACTTTCAGGTCTCCTCACACTGCTGGTGGGTTCCATTTTGTCATAGGGTGCTGTATGGCCTCCCATTGCTGCTGCCAGGCCCGTAATCTGCCATGGGCCCCCGTACCGACTCCTCATGCTGCTGCCAGGCCCGTAATCTGTCATGGGCCCCTGTACCGCCTCCTCTTGCTGCTGCCAGGTCCAGAGTGTGTCATGGGTCCCTGTACGGCCTCCCATTGCTGCTGTCTCCATCGCCACACTCTGCCATGTGCCACTTTCAGGTCTCCTCACACTGCTGGTGGGTTCCATTTTGTCATAGGGTGCTGTATGGCCTCCCATTGCTGCTGCTAGGCCCGTAATCTGCCATGGGCCCCCGTACCGCCTCCTCATGCTGCTGCCAGGCCCGTAATCTGTCATGGGCCCCTGTACCACCTCCTCATGCTGCTGCCAGGTCCAGAGTGTGTCATGGGTCCCTGTACGGCCTCCCATTGCTGCTGTCTCCATCGCCACACTCTGCCATGTGCCACTTTCAGGTCTCCTCACACTGCTGGTGGGTTCCATTTTGTCATAGGGTGCTGTATGGCCTCCCATTGCTGCTGCCTCCACCGCCACACTGTGGCTCCACACTCTGGTTTTGGCCCCGTGACTGCCCAAATGAGTGAAGTGTGCGGTGATTCTAAGATCGACGGCACTCATCTGCATGTCATACTGACTGACAGTATTATTTCTCTTCCCCAGCAGACTCCAAGGGCATTTAAATTAAAGGTACAGTGTTCTGCACTAATATAAAGGCTCTCTGAAGCCTAGAAACACCCTTTTATAAGTTAAATTCGCAGCGAATATATCCGACTCGAATCAAATTTATTCCTCGAATTCGCCGAATCAGCCGAATCGAATTTTTGAATAATTCGCTCATCTCTAATTCTAATGTATAAGCAGTTGTGGCAATGTTACAGATCATACAGAACAATAACTTGCTTTGTCTCTGGTTTCACTTTTACTTTCTATAAACAAATGAAAAGAGAAAAAAGAAGCAACGTAGAACAATTTCACCTGTACATGGCAAGTAACTCTCTCCAGTACAGACATAGATAGCTGACTCCGTTCAAGTAGGCCTGTGTCTACAGGATCATACACCAAGTATCAGCCTCCAATGTAGTTACCATTTAGTAGGGTACAGTTGGCCGGGTCCATTTTTAGGGGCCTAAAAAAGTTAAACCTATAAAAAAGCTATGACAAATGAAGTATGGGGAGTGAGTACCGGAGTATCCAGCCAGTTCTGCCAGAGAGCCATAAGTCTCCTAGGAGAAGTTAGGTTTTCATGTATTTATTATGGGGTTCACCTGCTCAATCCATGCCTGGTGGGAGTATGAGTTGATAACCAGAATGCTTGGATTCGATTTGCAGGTTCGTTCAGAAAGTACATCTAAGAATCCAAAAATTACAAGCTTAATCTCAGCTAGGGAGAGACTTTGTTCAATTAAAAGAAAAACGTCAAAAACAAGTGAGAAAATGTAAATGAGAAGCTGAGAGAGGAGCTAAAAACACTAAAAATACCCCCCCAGATCTATCCTAGAAATTCAGTCTAAAATGTAACAATTACACCAAGAAAACCCTCAACTGAGGGAAGAGATAATGACACCAAAGATACAAATGGAGCTCAACAATCAGGAAAGAGAATCAAAGAGGATGATTTATACAAAGTACCCATCAAGGAACAACAGACCGGTGAGACCAATCAGCTTCCGAAATGTAACAAAGACCAGCAATAGCCAAGACAACTCTACTAATACTGAGACCACAAATAGTGATGGCCGAACACCCCCTGTTCAGGTCGCGGTCAAACATACAGAATGTTCTACAGTGAATGTCGAACACGAAGGACTGAGAGGTGTCTTACCGCATCTGAGT